CCATGGATTCGAGACCAGCCTGAGCATCTTGGTGAGACCTCGTCTCTACAATAAATCAAAAATTAGCCGGACATGGTAGCATGTGCCTGTAGTTCTGGTTACTTGGAAGGCTGAGGCGGAAGGATCGCCACAGCCCAGCAGGTCGATGCTGGGGTGGCCATGAGCATGCCACTGCACTCCAGCCTGGGCAATGGAGTGAGACACCAACTCAAAAAAAGAAAGAAAGAAAGAAAGCAGTAAATAGAATAAAGTACAGATATTGATGAAATCGTGAATGAAGATGAGCAAAATCAAAAGCTAGTTCTTTAAACGGATCAGTAAGGCCTCCAGAAAGACATAGAATAGTTGGAGAAAAAGGGAAATAACAAATATTTTTTAAAAATTAGAAGTCTGGGCCATTGCCTTACTGACTCTGGTGTGGATGTGTACTCTTGAAGCTACGGTCGCTGCCATGTTTTCTGGCTCTGGCCTTCTCCCCTCCCTTAGAGAGGTGAATCTTTCTCTTTCTCTTTCTCTTTTTCTCCCCCCCACCCGCCCCTGCCTCTAATTTACTTTCTAAATAAACTATATTTTCTAATCTAAAAAAAATACAGGCCTGACGCAGTGGCTCACTCCAGTAATCCCAGCAGTTTGGAAGGCTGAGGCAAGAGAATTGCTTGAGTCCAGGAGCTCGAGATCAGCCTGGGCAACATGGCGAGACCTCACCTCTGCAATAAATCAGAAAAAATTAGCTGGGTGCAGTGGTGTGCACCTGTAGTCCAGCTACTTGGAAGGCTAAGACAGAAGGATCACCCGAACCCAGGAGGTCAAGACTGCGGTGGTCATGATCATGCCAATGCACTCCAGCCTCAGCAACAGAGCGAGACTCCAACTCAAAAAATAATAATTGTGTTATGTTCATTCTTAAGCCTACCAATGGGGGTGGGAATGGTATTATGCACAATCAGACCTCAGTAAATATGAAAACCTAGGTGAAACCTGGGGCAGATGGCTGCGTTCCCCCAAATGGCTGTCCATGTCCCCTAGGCACAGCCCAGCTACCCTTCCATCCTCCCACGCCTCTAGCCACAGCTGGGCACCTTGGTTCTGGCGAACGTAATGTTGGCGGTTAAGCTGCCTCCTTCAGGCTGAGTCTATAAAGACCGTGCAGTGCTCCCCCAGTGAAGACTGCTGGACACAGAGGGGCCAGGGCAGGACTCTGACAGGAGTGCGGTGGCTCCCAAAGCCCCTCCCCCAGCCCACACTGGACCACGCCAGGAGCGGAAAACAGAAGTTCATTGTGTTAAGCCACTGATGTTTCATGCTTCATTGGTGTGTCAAATGACCTCCCCAAGATAAAACAGATAAATTCCTAGAAAAAAGATGCCAATAATGGTACAAAAAGAAATAGAAAAGTGGAAAAAATCTGTAAGTTTTAAATAAATTGAAATGGTAAAGTGCTATGCATGTGCATGCACACACACAAACATGCACACACAAACACACAAACCCCAAAACCCAGGGTGCGCAGTTTTACCGCAGTTTAAGAAAACTTCATTCCTATCTTTTAGAAGTTCCTAAAAACAGCAAATGCTTCTCCGCTCATTTTATAAGGCTGTATTCTTTTTAATGTATGCTTTGTCAAAATATAACATGAATTTTTAAAAGTAAATAACATATCCACGTGAATGAATTTTCACAAGGTGAATATACTCGTGCAGCAGAATCCAGATCCAATTACCACCTGCCTCCCTCATAGATTAGCTTTGCCCGTTTTTGAGATCCGTTCAAGTGGAATCATGTACTGTGTATGCTTTTGTGTCTGACTTTTTATGTTCCTTATGTTCATGAACTTCATCCATGTTGCTGTTTGTGACTGAAGTCCATCAAATCTCATTGACTTAAAGAATTTCATCGTACAGACCTACCACAATACATCTATCCGTTCTGTCGATAGGCAATCGGGTTGTTTCTGAGACTAGTGTACCTCAAAATCTGATAAAGTCAACATAAAGAGAAGATGAAAACCTCATAGCTTGTTTCACTGATGAATATGAATACAAAAATTCTAAATAAAAGTTTAGCTAACTGAATCCAATGGTATATTTATTTTAGAAAATAATGCATTATACAAATCTTGCCTGACCATAATGTATTAAAGTTTGTACATTATGGTCAGGTAAGATTTATCTTAGCAATGCAAAGAAAGTTCAGCACCAGAAAATCAATCAATATAATTGGCCACATTAATAGACTAAGCAGAAAAATCCAGCCAGGCTCAGTGACTCAGCCTGTAATCCAGTGCTTTGGGAGGCCAAGGTGAGTGAATTGCCTGAGCCCGCGGGTTTGAGACCCGCCTGGGCAATTTGGCAAGACCTCATCTCTACAATAAATTCAAAAAAAAACTAGCCAGACGTGGTAGCGCACGCCTGTAGTTCCAGCTACTTGGAAGGCTGAGGCGGAAGGATCGCTGGAGCCCAGCAGGTCGAGGCTGCAGTGGCTGGGAGCGGCCACTGCACTCCAGTCTGGGTGATAGAGTGAGACTCCAACTCAAAAAAAGAGAAGAAAAAAGAAAAAGAGAAGAAAAATCCTATACCATCTCAACTTGTGAACAAAATGCATTAGATACAGTCTCAGCAAACTGCAAGCAGGTCACTTCCTTCACTTGGTAAAGTTGATGGAACCAAAACTCCCAGTAAACATTGTTCTTTTTTTGAGTTAGAATCTCACCCTGTCGCCCAGACTGGAGTGCAGTGGCCGCACCCGGCCACCGCAGCCTCAACCTGCTCCGGCGATCCTTTCGCCTCAGCCTTCCAAGTAGCTGGAATTACAGGCATGCGCTACCACGCCCGGCTGATTTTTTGATTTATTGTAGAGATGAGGACCCGCTGCCCAGGTGGGTCTCGAACCCGCAGGCTCAGGCAATCCACTCACCTCAGCCTCCCAAAGGCGCAGGATTACAGGCTGAGCCACCAAGCCTGGCCAAACATTGTTCTTATTGGAGACACTTTAAGTGTTTTAATCTTCCCTGTAAGTTAGGAACAAGATGAGGATGAGAATGTCAGCACCATTATCCAAAGTATATTGCAGCTCTTGGACACTCTATAGAAAGAAATTGAAATAAGAGGCATAAGAATGTGAGAGGAAAGACAAAATCGTCACTATTTGCAGACAATGTAATCGCCTACCCAGAAAAGCCAAGGGAATAGTAGACAAACTATTAGAACTGGATGCAGGTGCAATCTACAAAGTCAGTTTCTCACTTGAAAAGCAGGGGCCAAATTGCAAGCACAGTGACTCGGTCATAAACACGTCCCAGCACGATGACTAAGAAACAATGTGATCCGTAACACAGTGGCGTGAGTATCAGGAATGAACCGAGGCAGGGGAAAGACAGAGCTTGCCTGGGAGGATGGGGACACTCTGCTGAGAGCCCAGGATGTTGACCAAGGGCACAAAGATGCAGAGGCCCCTGGTTGTCGAGGCCGGCCCCAGGGCCTTTGTGTATTCCCCCCTTCGATAGATAAAACCTGCTTCTCCCTGCACGGCCCCCCACCCGGAAGCCTTGAGACTGTGGGCAGACAACTTGGGTCTCTGGACCTCCACTTCTTCCTCTGTAAAATGGGATACTCATTACAGTATTTACTTGACTCCAACAGGAACCCCCCGGGGACACTGAGCGGATTAAATGTGATAAAGCAGAGACAGGGTTTAGCTCATGCTCAGGAAACAAGGATGAGAAAAACTATTAATAAAGGGATTCAAGAGGCCCTGCTCCCTCAACGCCAACCTCCACGCCCGCAGGGTCCAGCCACCTGGGGCTGCCTCCCAGTTAGTCTCCAGCATCCTCAAGGGTTAAGGAGCTTGGCTGCCTGCCAAGGAGCAGAGGCAGGAAGAAAGCGTCAGCATCTCGCTATCTTCCAGCAATCTCCCTGGCCCAGCTCAGGCCTTGGGAAATGAAAGCCCATCCAGGCTCCCCTGCGTGCTGCATCCCAATGACTTTCCCCGCCAAGGAGATTGGGGGGGCCCTCCCCTCTGCCTCTCTCTCCTCCCCAGGCCTAGGGACTGCTAGGGACCCCTGAGCTGCCCCGAGCTGTCAGCTCACATGTGGGAGAGAGATTGGGTTGTTCCAGCTGCTGGCCCTGTGGAAATGGAGGGAAGGGAAACAGGCAGTGGCAGCTGGGAGGGGTCGTGGAGATTTGGGGGAGGGGAGAGGTAGTCAGTAGGGACCCCTGCCCAGTGTGCCCCTGGCACTCTGGGTCTCACCCCATCCTGCATTGGGTCTGGACAGGATGTCTCACACTGTAAATTATGACCCTGCAGCCAGCTGCAAACTCCATTCAGTGGGTTATAATCCACATTTCAAAGACAAGCTGGAACTGAAAACAGGGTGCATTGCATGTGAGAAAGCAACACACCGCAGCTATATTTCAGTGACTCGTGATCCCGGAGTCTCTGAACCCAGCCATGTGACCCTGGACACATTACTCAACATTTCAGGCCTCGGTATCCGTATGTGTCCATGGGAAGAAAACAGCACCCGTGGGTCACTGTGAGAAGTGGAGTGGCCCAGGAGAGGAGTGCAGGGGACATGAATAAGCCGGGAGCACTGGCTCTTTCTGTCTTCGCTGTGTAGAATGCATTTCTTCCTCAGGAGAGTAGTCCCAGAAGCTTGAAGCCACTGGATCTGAGACTCGAGTGAGGATTGTCTCAGGGTGAGAATTCGGAGTGCAGCCTTGGGTAAGGGCATGGCTCTCAGCAGGTGAAAAGGAAGGGGCCCGAGGGGAAAAGGAGAGTGAGCGCTCCCAGAGGAAGGTTTGCCTGTGCGCAGCCCTCTACAGTGTATGCCATCCGCTGGTTCCCTCACTCCTCCTTGGCACAACTGATTTTCATAGGAATCCTAAATTCCTCCTGGTCATTGGGTCAGTTGATTTTTAATGAGCAGCTCCTTCAGGCCAGGTGATTTCACGGTGAAAGGGCAGGCAGAGCCTGAGTGGACTGGTTACCGCTGGGGTCATCAGGCCCATCGTGCAGACGGGAGTGGAGGCTCAGCGGGAGGGGCAGCCTTCCCACGATGCACTGGCAGCTGTGTGCCGGACTGTGCCGATGCTAGACGGCACTGGCCACTCGGGCCCGCCCCAAAAAGGGTCTCTTTGGGGGGAGAGGGGGGAAGATGGAAATGATAAATATTTCTCATTTCCCAACTAACTGGCACCAGAAAGAAGCCTGGAAAGCCCCCGCCTAGAGTCGTTACTCCCCCAGCACTGAGTGCACATGAATAAACCGCCAGACTGAAGGGCTTGATTCCCCACGTCCGCCAGAGCCCGCCCTGCACCCGCCAGGAGTCCCGCATTTCGGCAGGCCAGGAAGCTGGGGGCCAGCCTAGGCCAGGAGCAGCAACAGCTCAGAGAGCCCACACTGCCCAGGCGTTGGGATGACCGGCAGGGGGAGCACCCCTGACTGGGGCTCGTCCCGGGACTCTAATGATGACACTCGAATTTCCTGGGCGGCTGAGCTGGACCCCAGGCCGTGTTTTTTTGGTTTTTGTTTTTGGAGTTGGGGTCTCTCTCTGTCCCCCAGGCTGGAGTGCAGTGGCATGACCACGACGATCATGGCTCATGGCAGCCTTGACCTCCCGGGCTCAGGCGATCCCTCCCCCTCGGCCCCCGGAGTAGCTGGGCCCCACGCTGTGTTTGATGTGCCTCTGTTCATCCAATCCTCCACACGACTCTATCGTGCACATTTTACAGGTGGGTAAACTGAGGCTGAGAGAGGTCGAGGCAGCACTGGAACCCCAGCCCCACAGCCAGTGGGTACAAGGACTGTGCTCCAGGCCTCGTGGGCACAGTGAATCCTCCCAGGAGTCCCGGGAGGTCAGGGTTCGAACCCATCAACTGGTTTTTAATGAGCAGATACGACATGCCAGGCCTTGGCGGTTTCATGGTGAGAGGGCAGGCAACGCTCGACTCCCACTGAGATCACACGTGAGGAAATTGCCGTTTCTTGTTCCCCCATGGTGTGGCAGACATGGAGCTGCCCTGCTGTAGCTTGTCCGGTGCCCACCGCAGTGCCTCTCGGCCTCGTCACTCCATTATCAAACAGGAAGCTGGGGCTGGGAGTGGGGAAGGGCCTGCCTGTGACCCCACAGCCCGCCTGTGGCGGGGCAGGATCTGACCCAGGACTCCATGCCCTGGCAACTGCTTGACAGCCCTCAGAAATCCTCCTGGAGCTGGAGAAGCCCCAGCTGCTCTCTGCCCAGCTGAAATGTGCGTGCTCCCTCCTCCCTCCACCCTCCGCCCCACCCTCACCAACCTTCTCCCTCCGGCGGCCTCCTTTCTGTCCTTCAAGCATGCCGACATCCACCCGACCTCAGGGCCTTTAAATGGCCGTTCCCTCTGCCTGACAGGCTCCTTCGCGGGATCTCCACAAGGTCAGCAACTTCCCACGGGTCGGTCTCAGCTCCTCAGAGCCCTTGTCCCCACTCGTGCTGTCTTCCACTTCCGCCCCTAGGCCCTGCCGGCACATCTTCCTAATTTGTCTCCCTCTGGGTGTCAGTTACTGGCAGTTTTTCGTTCAGCTGTGTATTGTCAGTCTCCCTGATACAAATGCAAGCTTTTCAGGCCCTGCCCCTATGAGGCAGGGTGACCTTGAGTAAGTCACTTCCTTTCTCTCAGTCGGCTTCCTCATCTATCTAATGGGGATGCTAACGCCTGCCTTTCAACATATTGGCAAGGATGCAACGTGACATGGCACAACGCCCAGTACGTAATAGGTGCATATCACACAGTAAATGGCATAAGAAAAGCGCACGTGACAAATAACCCAGAGAAAGAATGAGCCAAAGCACTATATAGACATTTCTCCAAAGATGTATAAAAGGTCAATAAACACAAGATGTTTAATGCTATGAGCCACTAGGGAAATACAAATCAAAACCATGATGAGACCCCACCTCATGCCAAGGACAGCTAGGTCAGAAAGACACACAATAACGAGTGCTGGTGAGGATGAGGAGATACCGGAGTGCAATGTGATGCAGCCACTGTGGAAGACCGTCTGGCAGCTCCTCGAGCAGATAAGCATAGAGTTGCTGCAGAACCCAGTCATTCCATTCCCAGACATCTGTCTGCTCAGGAGACGTGAAAACACGTGTACCCACAAAGGCTTGTATGCAGATATTCGTAGCAGCCCTATTCAGAATCACCAAACAATGGAAACCACCCACATGTCCACAAGTAAGGAATGGATAAACAAAATATGGTCGATCCACACAAGGGAATACTATTCAGAATCACCAAACAATGGAAACCACCCACATGTCCACAAGTAAGGAATGGATAAACAAAATATGGTCGATCCACACAAGGGAATACTACTCTCCAGTAAAAAGGAGTGAAGTACATGCTACCAAATGGGCGGCACTTGGTAATATCACACAAAGTGGAAGCAGTTGGCCTCACAAGGCCACGTATTGCAGGAGTCACGTGAAGTGGTCAGAACAGGCAGATCCACAGAGACAGAAGCTGGGCTAGCAGCTGACCGGCCGTGGGAAGGGGCGGAGGGCGACTACCAACGCGTCGTAGACTCCTTTTTTAGGATGATGAAACCTTTCTAAAATTGTGGTGATGGTTGTGGATGTACTCAGAACCACTGAATTATATACTTTAAATGGGCTAATTGTATGGTACATTAAAAACAACCCTACGGGGTAAATTCTCAAGTCACCATCTTACAAACGTAAACAGAGGCCTAGAAAGAGGAGTTGCCCAGATCACACAGCTTGTTAGTGGCAGGACTGGAATTCGAACACGGGTGGTCTTGCCAGAGCCCACATTCTAACTGCTTGTCACCTAGACAAACATTAGAACTGGAATATATGCTTACTTGATCCCTAAGAATTCAGCAATAATAGCTACTATTTGTTAAACAGACACTTGCCTTGTCAGGCACTGGACTGAATTCTTCTCTTGGGATTAACTAATTTAATACTCCCATTTTTGAGACGAGGAAACAGATTCAGGGAAGCTCCGCAGCTTGCCAAAGCCCCCCTCCCCTCCAGCTAGTTAACAGCTGCCTTCTGAAAAGCATATCAAGGGTCATGGAGCCCTGCGGCCTCCTCTACAGATAGGGAAACTGAGGTTCAGAGCAGGCAAGTGCCTGGCCAAGGCTAGGCAGCCCCTTGGGCCTCAGTTTTTCCACAGTGAGATAAGGGTGGGAGAGGATTCCTAATTCCTCTTTCCCCTCTCCAAGATTCAGTGATTCTTTATTTTGTGGGTTTCATCCTGCGATTTTAAATATTTTTCTTCAGGAAACAAGAACATAAATGAAAGCTCGCCTTGGTTCTCAGTCTGTGGGTGCCATGGAAACTGCCTGTCACGTACTAAAGCAGGAGCAACCGGCCACAGGGCAGAGGTGGCCTAAGAGGTGATCCCAGGCAGTGGGCCGACTCCTCGTGAGCTCCCAGAGCAGAAGGGTCAGGGGCTGTGCTGTCTTGGTGTGGGAGGAAGAGGGAAGGAGAGGCAGCCCAGCACCCCTGATCCATCCTAGGCACTGGACCCAGACAGGCACACTCACAGCCAGGACCTTCTTGAATCTTTATAACGTGTGCCATAAGCTCTCCCTTTCACAGATGAGGGAACTGAGGCCAGGAGACCCAAGCCAGAGACAAGTGGCCAGGTTGGCAGAGACCCTGTCCTGGGTATGGCCAGGGCAGGGGTGAGAGGGCTGGGCTGGTGTGGGGGCAAGCGGAGTCTGCCGCGGCTTCCTCCAGGGGGCATCACTGCCCTCCGGGGGTGGTGATGGATGATATCACCAGCCTGCCACGGGGAGCGGAGAGACTTTCCCGGCTTCCCTCCCTGCCCACCTCGGCAGACTTGCAAACAGCTCGGCAGACTTGCAAACAGTGGCCCCCGTAGCCCCAGCCGGTTTCTCCAGGGAGAAGAGTGATTGATCCCAGCAGCTGGGGCGCAGTCTCAGGGAAGGACTCGGAGTGGCCACTTCTTGCGCCAGTCACTGATACCAGGGGATGGAGGGCTGGGACTGGCTCGCCCAGGTCACATGCCTACCATGTGTGGGGCCGCAGAGCCTGTTGCCCGGAGAAGGGGAAGGGGAAGACTGCCCGACCGAGAGAGAGAGCCGCCGTCGCTGGCTCGGGCCTGTGCCCTGGGCCCCGGATGCTGCCTGCCTCCCCGGGGCCTGACTCTTTCTCTGTAAACACTGGATGAGAGGTGGACACCTCCTGAAGCCTGCAGACCTGCACATGTGCGCATTTGGAGGATGACTTTGCCCGGGCTGAAGTCCCCTCATTTCGGTCTTTCAGGTCTTCTTTCAGCCTCTGTGCTAAGGGCGGACCTCACACGTTCTCATTCGGGCCTGACAGACACTCCGGGTGGAAGGGACTCTCATTCGCTCCATGTTTTAATAAAGCTAGACGCTTTATTTTTTTAGAGCAGTTTTAGACTCACAGCAAAATGAAGCCTGAGGTCCAGAGAATTCCCACACACCCCAAAGCCCCTTCAACGCGTCGCGCGCGCGCGCGCGCGCACACA